CACAATTGAGCCCAAAATTTCTGTTGCTAAGCGAGACAGTTGGATGAATTTTGCCTCATTTTATGACTGTTTTTTGCCGAATTGTTAAGTGAATCATTGCAATTGTTAAGTTAGTACATGGTTGTTAAGTAAATCTGGTTCCCCATTGACTTTGTCAGAAAGTAGTAGAAAGTGATCCCATGACCCTGGGACACTGCAATTACAATATGAGTGTTGTCAAGCTTCTGAATTTTATCGCGTGACCATGGGAATTGCTGCAACAGTTGTGCAAAAAACAGTCATGTCACTTTTTTCAGTTCTGTTCACTGCTTCAAACGGTCACTGAATGAACTGTTGTAAGTCGAGGACTGCTTGTAGTTTTTAATACATTGCTTCATATTGATCCTAATAGGAAGACATTTATCATCTGCCCAATCATTTAAAAATATCTTCCTAAATACTGTTTTGTATTTTTGAGGCAATCTTCTGGGGAACATATTTTAATTAAAATCCATTTGATTATAATCAGTAGTTGCACCTGGCATCTGTATACTTGGAAAGTCTTGCTCAACAAACTGGCTGCTCTGGATCTATAAATGCCTCCTTTTAATTTCATCTCACTTTTTTTAAAATAGGGAAACAGAGGCATACCCTCTAAAACAGCAAGCCCGCCCAGCAACCTACCTGTATTAGCAGAATGCAGGTAGTCCTCAGCTTACAAGCACAATAGAACCCACAGTTTCTGTTACTAAGCAAGGCAATTGTTAAGTGATCGGTTTTGCACTATTTTGCAATCTTTTTGCCAGAGTTAAGTGAAGCACTGCAGTTGTTAAGTGAATCATGTGATCATTAAGCAAATCTGTCTTCCCCCATTGACTGTGTTTGTTGGAAGCCGACTGGGAAGGTTACAGAGACTGATCACATCATCCCAGGACAGTGCAACTGTCATAAATACATGTCAGTTGCCTAGAATCCAAATTTTGACCATGTAACCATGGGAATGGTGCAACAGTCACAAGTGTTAAAACCAGTCATAAGTCACTTTTTTCAGTGTTGTTGTAACTTTGAATTGTTGCTAAACAAATGGTTGTAAGTTGAGGATTATTCTAAATGAAATGAAGCTTAGTCTTAGACTGCCAAAAGTTATTTTTTCCATCCTTTCTAATTATAAAAAGTGGGACTGATTTTTTATGCCTTCCTATGGTGTTTGTTCACACAAAAATTGGTTGGGAGGGAGGAAAAAACCTAGTGGCCAGCACTGTGTTCCCCCAACCCCAAACGGGCTCCTTTGTTGTTCTCTGATAGGATTTGGATGTTGTTGGAGATGGTATGCAATGTCCCCCTTCTCCTCTGCTTGCTGATGCTTCTGCTGCCCTTGAGAACCAACTGAGCAAAAATGTGGCTGAAGTTCCCATAATTGTGTGCTCAGATGAAGAATCCGTTCGACAAGGACTTCCAACACAGTCAGGAAGGGGAAGTTTCCCCAGGCAAATTACACTTCTTGCATCAGAACCTCCACAAGAGCCATCAGCGCAGGTACTGTGCTAAGTTTGGAGGATTTTCTCTGGTGGGCTTCTTTTGTTTTGGGGGTAGCTACTTGCCAAGTGTTACTGTTAGAACGGCCTATTCTATAAAGGCCTCCTTGAAAAGAGCCAGCCAGCCTTTTCATACACAGGCGGACCATAAAGAAAATGAGGAGCCAGTTTTGTTTGCCAAGGGGATTAGCCATCTGCTCACTGCATGAGTTGGGGGAAAGTTTGAGGAAAGGATCATTACTTCCCCCTTCTCCCCCCTCCCCGAAAAAAACAGCACAGCTGGTCGGTAGTAGGATTGGGAGGGTTAAGAACTGGCAGGTGGTGCAAGCCTTTGAATTGCTAGAGTTTCAGTTGGTAAACATTCAAGCAATTTCTCTTGAAATGTCTTCTCAGCTGCTTTATTTGTTGACTTGCTTAGAATATAGACAAATTTTGCATACAGATTGTGTATCTGTGAATCCTTATTTTCATAACATCCAGAAAGAAAGAAAAAACATCTTATTGATATCTGGTTGAATCATTATTTTTTTAGTTGGCTAATGCATTAATATGATTGCGATTTGTATTATCATTATAAAAATTACAGGATCAATTATCTATCTCTATTAGAATACGCAGCATCTTGTGACAAGTGGCTCAAGGTTGGAGGACAATAAGAAAGATGAACCTGCAACCAATGGGAATTCAGAACCAGCTGCTATCAACTGAGATGGAAAAAAACTGTCTCCTGTCCGATAAAGCATCCGCTGCTGCTCTTGAACTCTCTTTTTGGCTTCCAGTGTTTTGCCAGCTCTCTATTAAATCTTCCCCAGATTTAATGTCTATCTGGAAAACCATATGAGAGGCAGCTTTAGCATGTTTGAGTGACTTCTTTCAGATCTCATTTCAGGGAATGCCTTTTGGTTTCTGGTATAAGTGGAGCAAAAAACATAGGACATCTTAATGTTCAATTAATACACAAAGCAAAAGCCTCTGCCTTATTCATAGTCATAGGCCCCTGATAAGAGGAAATGGCTTAAAGTATTTTGCATAGTTGAATTATTGGGAGTATTTGAAGTCACAGGCTGAGCCGTGCTAAAAGCCGAGCTTTTTATTATCTGTACTGTACACTAGCCCAGTGATGGCGAACCTTTTAGCCACCGAATGCCCAAACCATGCACGTGCATGCCCAAACTGAAAGGTGCGAACACACGCATGCACAGACATGCGTGCATGTGCAGCAGAGACCCAAAGACCAGCTGGCCTCCCAACACTGGCAGCGTGGCAAGAGGTAAGATCTTTTTCTTTTGTGAGCTTCTGTTTCGTCGTCTCCAGGGAAACAGAAGNACTTGGTTGTGAGCCGCCCTGAGTCCCCTCCGGGGAATAGGGCGGCATAGAAATATAATAAACTCAACTCAACCCCTGGGGAAGATAAGAAACATACTATCATAGCTTCCTTATTAAAAAAAAAAAAACAGTTCCAGGAAGAGCAAGAGGTGAGCACGACTATGTGGTAACTCATACACCATTCTCAGCAGCTGACCTGATGATTTGGAAAAGGGACACCCCAACTTTTAGGTCTGATCCCCAAACAGTAATCCAGATGCTAAAAAACATAATAGATAGCCATAATCCTTCTTGGGGAGACATGACCCAACTATTGCAAGTCTTTTTAACAAAAGATGAGCAACTTAAATGATTTGAAAAAACAGAGGATATAGCCAAACGGCCAATCTTATGTGTCCCAGGACAAAGAAACCCTGCACAAGTTGCCTGGCCATTAGAACATCCTGATTGGGATTATAATGATGCAAACCATTGGGACACATACACGAGAGCAAAGGAAAACCTTTTGGAAGCCTTGGATAGAATAGGATAAAAACCTTTGAATTGGTCAGAGTTCCAAAGAACAACACACAGAGAGACAGAGAGCCCAGATGCGTATTGGGTCCGCCTTTCTGAAGCAGCAGTAACATATGCTCATTTAGAGCTCATCTGCCCCAAAGATAAAAGATCCTTGCCTTTGCTTTTGTTGATCAATCAGCTGACAACATCCATGATCATTTCTAGCGGATTGTATCAAACTGGTCAGCTTTAGAAATATCAGAATTATGAAGAATAGCCACCTTTGTTTATGATCAAAGAGAAAAACTAAAAGAGAAGGGAAAAGATAGAAAAAGGAGGATCGAAAGACAGGAAGACCTGCAAGCTTTTCCAGCCATAAATCATAGGGGGCAGACAGACCGCTAGCCCCTCTCTTACACGAGAAGAAGCCGGTGGTGTGGAAGGGAAAATCAACCCCACATGAGTGTAGACGTTGCCACAAATACGGGAATGAGAGACACATCAGCCAAAATTGCAGGCAATAATACCCATGGAATGATTCTCTACGCAAGACACAGCTTGTTTCTGTAGTGTTTAACGCTCCAGGTTAGAAACTGGGTGACTTTGAGTTCTAGTCATGCTTTAGACACAAAGAGCTGGATGACTTTGGGCAAGTCACTCTTTCAACCTGGGAAACAAGCAGTTGTAAATCACTTCTGAAAAACCTTGCCAAGAAAACTGTAAGAGTAGAACAGGCAGTCACCAAGTATCCAAAACTGACTCAAATGCATCTCCTCTCCCAAAAAAACATCTCAGTGCATACAGTGTGTGGCTGCTTCTGCTATCAAGAAGGTGAAGGCTGTATTTGAATACTGGCACACAGAAAGACAGAAAAGCATATTTTATATACTTGGTCCTATTCATAATTCATTTTTCTGATATATCTTTCTCCCTAATTATTTCTTCTGGAAGATTAAAAAAAGGAGGCTAACTAGGGAAGAATTTCAGTGGGCTTACATGTCTTTTTAGATATAAGCCCATGCACTATGGAGAAAATTGGAGCAGTTTGGGGGAGGAGAGTGTGTTCGATTTATAATGAATTGTCTGTCAGTCTCTGCCCTTCATTATACAACCAGTCCTCCTCAATTTCTTGACAACATAAAACAAAATCTTCCAATCCTTAGAACTATTTTACTATCCTGCAAAAATCAGAATGATCACTAGATTGGTAGCAAATAATGAAGAGATTTCGGTATCACTCTGTTTGCCCTACCAATGGTCCTATATATTTCTGGCATTCTGCCCCCTCCCAAACTTTATGTCACCCATCAAATTGGAAAGAAGACGGGAATTTTTTTTTAACAAATTAAGATTAAATCCAGCCAAGGATAATAGATGTCTACTTCATTCTGAGTGGCTATTTGAACAGGAATGCCTCCAGCATTTTGGAATTATACTTTGCCTTAGGCTTTGGCAAACTTCCAAGTTTTGATGAGGGTGCTTTTTTGTGTAAGAGCCACAGATACTGGTGGAGGGTTCCCCCCCCACATATTCTCATTATAGATTTGATACATTTAGATTGCATCAAGAACCAGATTGTTTTTGTTTGATGTTAGGCACAATCAATTAGACAAGTGCATCATATGTTTCATTAATAACACATTAAATTAGCTTCAGGGTTGGTAGGTTCTACAATGTAGGCATACTATTGCCCTGTATCCAGTTGTGTGCTGTTGTTTTTAAGATCCAGGCTTAAGACACGCTGAGTTTCACTGAATTATGGTAATTGGAACTCTCAAATAAGATTGTTGCAGATATTTCTATTGAGGTAGCAAGTATCTGCCAATTTGTTTACAAGGGGTTTTCCAATTGCAGATGGCAAGAAGCAGGGGGAAGTAATTTGTTGATGGTCTGAAAAAAACAGAGTCACCCTGCTTCTCTTTCCTGCTGTTTTTCTTGAAAGAAATTAGCCAGGAGGCAAAAAAAAAGTGATTAATCCTGCAGTAACAATGCATGAGGTTGTGCTCTTCTGGGTTTTCCTAGAGCACTTTCTTACTTGACATACTTTATGGAGGATTGCAAACTTCTGGGTCTTATTTTAATGTCTTCACAGTAACAAGGCTGGATCATTTCTAGGTGTTCCTTTCTGCACTGCCTTGCTCACACTTCAGGGGTGAAATCTACTTACTTTCACTACTGGTTTGCAAATGTGAGCATACGTGCATGCGTGCTCGCTCTGCTCATGCGTGCCGCCACTGTGCATGCACAGGACCTCTGGCACATGCACAGAGTATCAAAAGCAGATGTGATGATGTTTGGGTGGGTGGGCAGAGCCTGCTACTGAGCATGCCTGCAAAGGTAAGTAGAACAGAGGGCAGGGGGGGAGGGTGCTGTGCCACCTGATTTAGATTAGCTAGAAAGCAGGAAATCCTGCTTTCTAGTGACTATAAATCATGCTTCACAGCTGGTCGCCAGAAAAAAGGTCGCCTGAACAGGTAGCATTTTTTTTACTACAAGTTCAGGCAAACCAGTCCAAACCAGTAGCATTTCATCCTTGCCACAGTGTTAATACTTTTGTAAAACACTGTTTAAAACTGTACTTATTCTGATTTCACTTTGCAACTAGTAATACTGAATAACACAGGGAATAGGAAATGGCGCCCTACAGATTTTTCTAAATTATAATATTCAACAGCCTCAGCTATTATGCTCAGTAGTCAGGGAGGTATTGTTTAAAATATTATGTCATAGTTTTCCCATCCCTGGGGTGGGGGGAAACATATGAATTTATATTTAGCTCATTTCTTATTCAAGCCATTTCACACATAATAAATTCAAACAAGCAGGGGGAGGAACTCTGGTGGTGTAGCTGTTAGGATATAGTATTGCACACTAAGTCTGCCCACAGTCTGGAGTTTGATTTTAATGGACTCAAGGTTGACTCATCCTTCCATCCTTCTGAGTTCGGTGAAATTAGGACCCAGATTGTTGGGGACAATGTGCTGACATTGTAAATCACCCAGAAAATGCAGTAAAGCATTATGAAGCAGTATATAAGTGTAAGTGCTATTATTATTGCTATGATTCCAAACAGTGGTGGGATTTGGATTTTTTTACTACAGGTTCTGTGGGCGTGGCTTGATGGGTGTGGCATGGCTTGGTGGGCGTGGCATGGTGGACATGGACATAGCAGGAGAAGGATACTGTAAAATCTCCATTCCCACCCCACTCCAGGGAAAGGTTACTGCAAAATCCCCATTCCCTCCTGATCAACTGGGACTCGGGAGACAGAGAATAAATGGGGACAGGGCCAGTCAGAGGTGGCATTTATTGGTTCTCCGAAATACTCAAAATTTCCACTACCAGTTCTCCAAAACTGGACAGAACTTGCTGAATACCACCTCTGATTCCAGTAGAAGAGAATGTCTATAGCTCAGAGTTTAGATATGGAGTGCTTGATGCTCCTTGAACTTGGTTGTTTGCTTGCAGATGTTTCATTACCCAACTAGTTATTCCCACCAATGCCTGATGATGTCACCTGATCACTGATGAAGTTACCTGGTCCAGTAATGAAATGTCTACAAGCAAACAAGCATTCTTAGAGAGCACCAAGGACTCCACAATACAGTATGATTGTTGCAGTGGTGGGTTCCGGATCCCGTTCCAACTGGTACAGTTGGAACAGGCAGGGCAGCGTCCACATGCATCTTAGCACCTCTGCAAGCCTCCGTGACACTCCAGCTGCTCAGCGGAGCATCGTGCAGGTGCTCTATGTGCCATGCCCATGCACGGAAGTGCTGAAGACTTAAGACCGGTAAGGAGCTCAGGCGGGCGGGCGGGCCCTCCAGAGCACCATACCGGAACGGTATCTGGTGCTCCAGGCAGTATGCCCGTACCAGGGCGTTCCACCTGCAACCCAACAATCCAGTGGTATTCATATATGTGAACTCAGTGTTTTTTTCTTTTAAACCACATATTCTATCACATACCGGTACATGCTGTACATTCTGTCTTTCTCCCTCTCTTTTCTTCTTCCCCCTCTTTTAAATACACATGGATACATATTAGAATTCATGTGGGATTACCCACAAACCTATTTGGGGAGGGGAGCTATAGGAAAGTAGAAGCACTATGATTTTAGATAATGGCAAATAAGAATGTAAATAACCATGCAAATGTCAGCTTTTAATTAGTAGTTAGAGATTTCCAGAGTAAAAATGCAGAAAATATAAACAGGCAATTACTGCTTACAAGCCAAGTGTGTCAAACAAAGCCCATATTATCATTACAGTACAGGGAAATACAGGAAGAGAAGATTCTGGCTTTAAACTAATAAATCAACTCTAATGGATTACAGATTGAAATGGCTACTTTTCCTTAGTTACATTGAAGAATTAATCCTAGTCATATCAGATAACATTCCTAGGAAGTT